GGATCCTAGAATTCGGCAGGATCGAGACAGAATTGCTGGGCGTTTACCAACTTGAACAACAGAGTAAGAGTTTATCTCTAAAAAAAAATTTGAAGTAAAATATTCTTTTTGGCTGGGCAGTGGTGGTGCACGCCTTTAATCGCAGCACTTGGGAGGCAGAGGCAGGTGAATCTCTGAGTTCGAGGCCAGCCAGAGGGAGTTCCAGGACAGCCAGGACTTAGTTACACAGAGAAACCTTGTCTCAAAAAATAAAATAATAATAATAATAAATTTAAAAATTCCTTTTGAACTACATCTTAAACCTGATTCAGATTGCAAGACCCTCTTTACACTCCTAATAGTGACTTGAGACCCAAAGAGGATTGTTTATGGTTTATATCTATCTGTGGGGGATTACAACCAAGAAAGGTTTTTTTTATGCATGCGTCCAAATGATCTTCCGCTGTCAGTTTGGCACAGCCTAGAGTTATATGAGGGAGTCTTAATTGAGAGCCTGCCCAGATCAGATTGGCCTGCGGCCATGTCTGTCAGAGACTATCTAGATTGATGATTGATGCGTGAGGGCCCAGCCCACTGTGGATGGCACCATTCCTAGGCAAGTGGAACCAGCATAAACCAGTAAGCAACCTTTCACCATGGCTCCTGCCTCTGCTTGGAAGTCCCTGCCTCCGTCTTCCCTCAATGATAGATTGTGACTTTTAAGTGTAATCTGAAATAAACCCTTTCCTCCCCATGTTTTACTACAGAAACAGAAATCAAAGTAAAACATTAATTTAAAATGGCAATTAAAAGCTCATTTGATATCAAGCAATATTACTTATGAAAATCACTAAATTTTCCAAAAAGCTCATATGTAAGAGTGACACTTTTTTAAATTTTATTTTTATTTACATGTATGTGCACACGTATGCGATGTGTGAATGGCCAGAAGAGGGCATTAGATTAGCTGCAGATACAGGCGGCTTGTGAGCTACCCAACATGGGTGCTGGAAACCATATTCTGGTGCTCTTCCAGAGCAGCTGTCCCTCTTGACCACTGAGTCATCTCTCCAGCCCCAGAGTGACACGTAGAAATTTTCACCAGTCCCATAGTGTCTAGCAGAGTGAAAACCAGCAGCTTTTCTGTCTCTGTGATGCTATATGATCTCACAAGCCTCACAGATATGATAGCACAAGTCTCAGAGCCTCTGGAAAATTCCGTGGTGCATGTAAGAATTCCAGCAAGAAAAGACAACTCTTAACTATTGTGATGAAGAGAGTTTTGGTCCTCAGAGGCCTTAGAAACCTCTGAACCTGTAGAATCAGCACCCTAACACAGCAAGCTTGCCAAGTTTTCATGCGGCTTCATTTGCTCCAAAGCCCCTTTTCCCTTCAAAGCAGGACTGTGGTCATCTCTCTTCCTTCTTCCCTGCATCCCCACCCTCCCATCTCAGCTCCGATTTCTGCTGCCTGAATGAATCTCCTGTAGATCTGATAGTACTCATTCCCTCACTTTTCACTTCTTCAAAACTGTATTTCACCTCGACTAAATGTTGATTTTCCCATAAATAGAATTCTAGACGGGCAGTTATTTCACATCATTATTAGGTATTAGGATCTTTTTGTTTGATGGTGCTGGGAACGTGGGTCCCCACACATGCTGAACAACCACCCCTCCGCGGAGCTACAACCCCAGGTCCCCACACATGCTGAACAAACACCCCTCCGCGGAGCTACAACCCCAGCCCTGGTCTTCAGTTTTATTAGGCGGCTTCTAGACCTCATTTCTCTGCTTGGTTTCAGTAAGACTTTTTGAGGCTTTGATTTTTTTTTTTTTAAATCCCTTTTGGGAAATTCTCAATCAGCTATTAGCTCTTCAAATATTTCTACCCTACTCCCCATTGGTTTCTAAGACCCAGTTAGTTGTATGGCTGAGGGTAAAGCTCAGTGGTAGAGTTCATATGTTGTGGTCACGTAATTTGTGCGCAGCATGATCATGTAATCTATGCACATGTTTGGCATAGCTATGTTAAGCTCATATGCGCATGTGCAGGGGCAATCCATAAAAGCAGATCCCCGCATATCCCTCCCGTCTTCCTGCACATTCTATTCCCATAGGCCTGTCACATCCCTTCTGCTCCCTTCCCTTAATAAACTCTTATAGTGAGTTTGTTGTGCCTCATGGCTTTTCTCAAACGGTAAACAGTGTGGCTTAATGAATAACAGAAAGAATACCAACCAAACTGGGCTGAATGCTGTTGCCTTTCTTTCTGTGAGGTATCTTTGTCTTCTCTTCGCCTGTTTTTCTAATTTATTTCTCCTGTCTTTTGCTTCAGTAATTGCTAAACAAACCCAATTTTTTTTTTGTTTTATTTGTTTGTTTTTGTTTGGTTTTTCAAGACAAGAGTTTCTCTGTGTAACAGTCCTGGCTATCCTAGGACTCTCTTTTAGACCGGGCTGGCCTCAAACTCACAGAGATCCACCTGCCTCTGCTTCCCCAGTGCTGGGATTAAAGCCTTGTACCCCCACTCCCAGCCTTTTTTTTTCTCCCCCGCACCCACCTGCTGTGGGATGGTCTGTATGTCAAATTGCTCTGATTGGTCAATAAATAAAACACTGATTGGCCAGTGGCTAGGCAGGAAGTAGGTGGGACAAGGAAAGAGTAGAATTATGGGAAGTGGAAGGCGGAGATAGAGAGACACTGCAGCCGCCGCCATGACCAGCAGCATGTGAAGACGCCGGTAAGCCACCAGCCACGTGGCAAGGTATAGATTTGTGGAAATGGATTAATTTAAGCTATAAGAACAGTTAGCAAGAAGCCTGCCACGGCCATACAGTTTGTAAGCAATATAAGTCTCTGTGTTTACTTGGTTGGGTCTGAGCGGCTGTGGGACTGGAGGGTGACAAAGATTTGTCCTGACTGTGGACAAGGCAGGAAAACTCTAGCTACACCCACCCGCAACTAAGGACCAAACCCAGGGCCCTGTGCTTGAGCAAGCTACCACCAAGCTAGGTCTGCATCCCCCAGGTTGCTTTAACTCAACAGATAGATGTGCTTTCCCAGTTTCTGCTGAGGTTTCAGTAGTTCCTTAAACAGAAGTACAGGGCTGGAGATGCACGGAAGGGATTCGGGGCCCTTGTTGCCCTTCCAAAGGACGGAGGTTCAATTCCCAGCACTGGTGTTGTAGATGACAACCATTCATAATTACAGTTGCAGGGTATCGAATGCCCTCTTCTGACCTCTGAGGGCACCAGGCACACACTTGGTGCACAGACATAAATGTGAACAAAACATTCATACACATAAAAATAAGCCTTTTTTTTCTCCCATAACAGTTTCTCTTTATCTACCTTTTGCCTTGGGGCTTTTTTTTTTTAAACATAAAAACAGGTTATAATTCAAAAGTCCAGAGTCATTTGAAACTGGAAAATATTTCCTCTGTAGACAACAGTAAAAATGATAACATTTCCCGATAAGCCCTTTTAAGCCAAATAATAACTGAATTATACATATATTGATTAGATTCTGGGATACAGAAGAAAGCTATCTTCATCTGTTCAGAGAGCTATGTTTTACTTAAGTTGTGTAAGTGAGATTCCTATTCATCTTCCCCTTCACTGTTTGATTTACGGCAGACATTTTTCTATAGGCTAATCCATAATCTAAAAAGCTTTTAGCCTCCCACACACACACCAAAGTATAGCCAGCATATCCTTTCATCAGCTTAATACGGTACAAATTCTTATCCTAATAGTGAATGTTTCACTAAAGCATGTCCAGTGATTGGGCAAAACCAAAACTTAAAATAAGCCTTTTTTAAAAACTAAAATAAAGCAAGAACAATTTTTGTTGGTTTGTTTTTGTTTTTGTTCTTTAGAAACAGGGTCTCATGTAGCCCAGGATGGTCTTAAAACCCTGATCATCCTCTACTTTCCAAGTGCTAGGAGTATATATGCACACCGCACCCTGCTAGCATGTTTATTTAAAAAACAAAAAACTATTAGGTCCAGTCCCTGGAGTTCCTGCAGAAGTCTCTGCATCACTTTATGACATCTTTTAAGGACAATCACTATACTCAGAATGGCTGCTTAATCAAATATGTAGCGCAGAAATTAGCAAAACCAGAGGAAATGGCAAGAAAAAAGCCTGGTGTAATGGTGCAGGCCTTTAATCCCAGTATTTAGGAGACAGAGGCAGGCAATTTTCTGAATTCAAGGCCAGCCTGGTTTACTTAGCAAGTTCCAGACTACACAGAAAACCCCTATCTCAAAAAAAAAAAAAACTAGTAAAGAGAGTTTCTTTTTTATTATTATTATTGCTTTGTTTCCATTGGTGTTTGGTTTGTTTGGGAAGGTGGGAGTGCGATAATCTCACTAAGTAGCCCCCCCTCGCCAGAACTTGCTATATAGAGCACCCTAGTGTCAAACTCAAGAGAAACCCTCCTGCCCCGCACCCTCCCAGCCTTCGTCCCACCCCCACCCCTGTGCCTCTGCCTCCCGAGTGCTGGGATTAAAGACCTGTGCCACTATGACCGGCCTTTGCTTTGGTGTTTTTGTATTTTGAGACGGTTTCTCTGTGTATCCCTGACTGTCCTGGAACTCACTATGTAGACCAGGTTGGCTTTGAACTCACAGAGATCTGCCTGCCTCCCAGAGTGCCGGGATTAAAGGTGTGTGCTACCACACCCGGCTTTTGATTTGGTTTTTAAGGCAGTTTCACGCTATAGCCCAGGCTGCCCTGAAGGTCGAATTTATGACAACCATGCTGCCTCAGCGTCCTGAGCGCAGGGGTTAAAGGCGTGAGCCCTGCGAAGAGGATTTTTTGTTTGTTTTCTTTACGGTCAACTTGTCCGGATTGTCTGCTGTGCTGGTTTCAGCATTGAAAGCCCGGTGTTCCCAGCAACCCAGGGAAGTCGGGACCGCCAGTTTTATGACACCTAGAGACACAGTAGACTCCATCTCCCAGCAACTCCTGCGTTTGACCAACCCCCACGCATGCGTGCAGCCCCCAGGTGACCACGGGGGCGCCGTGGTGCGCAGGCGCGGAAGAGCCGGCAGCCGGCTTCTGGAGCCGCGGCTCCTTCCGTTTTCCCGGCGGGCCCCGCGCGGCGCCTGCGTGCTCGGTGACCTTTCCTTGTCTAGCGGGTTCTGCTGTGGCCTGTGGCCTTGGTCTTGCTGAGGTAAGAGAGGGGCCTGGGCTTTTTCCCATGTTCCCGACAGCGGGGACCGGAAAGGGGCCGGGACGGAGTGCGGTGGAGCCGAGGTAGGTCGGGAGCGCAGGCGAGGGACTGCGATCCTCGCTGACCTTGGCCCAGCCCCTGCGCCACGGACTGTAAGGAGGGTCCACGGGGTTTCTCGCGACTGCGGCCGGGGAGTGCCGGAGTGAGCCCCATGCTGCAGGGATGTGCCTGGGGGTCAGTCCTCCGGTCCGCCAGGAGAGTGTCCGGGGCTCAGTCTCGCCGACTGCGAGAATGCACGGGGTCGGATCTCCGACTGCAAGGGTGGTTTCTGGGCGAGGGGTTGTTGCCAGTCCTTCGGGTTAGCGAGGGTCTGTGCGGGTGTGCCCTGAGATTATGTTTCTATTGATAGAGCGAGTATTCCTCAAGACTAAGAGGGGCTACGTGGAGGCCCTCCTCAGTCAGCGTTATGCCCTTTCTGGGGCATTGATACGCGGATGGACCTGCCTAACTATATAGCTTTGGTAAAGGAGCATGCCACCATCAGCTGTGAGCATCCTGTTCCCTGGTTAGACTCCAAGCCAGGAAACATCACTCCAAAGTTAGTGACTTCTTTCCTTTATGCCACAGGTTTCTTCCAAGTTAGGCTTTGGTAAAGGGATGTTCCCTTTGTATGAAACCACATTATAAACCTCAGACTGTCACATGTCCCCTCTTTCCAGTGTACTGCCAGGTAATAGCTTGCTGTTACTTTAATTTTCAAAAACTTTGCAGGCACAGGCAGTCTTAGTAGACCGCCGTTTGACCTTGGGGGAGGGGGGAAAGACAGGGTTTCTCTGTGTAACAGCCCTGACTGTTATGGAACTCACTCTGTAGACCAGACTGGCCTTGAACTCCCAGAGATCCGCCTGACTCTGCCTCCCGAGTGCTGGGATTAAAGCGTGTGCCACCACCACCTGGCCTTGATATCACTTCTTGACACTTCTACCCAGCCTACGGGAGGAAAAGCGAGGAAATCTTTCAGTCCTCCCTTAGAGTCCCAGTGGTCTAGGGATTGCCGCTTTCTTTTTTATGGCAACTCCTTGTTATTGATTGATCATTTACTGAGTGCTTGCTTTGCACCAGGTGCCAGACTGGACCCTTTTTTGTTTCACGAGTCCTGGGGAGCAAGTAGAAGGTCCTTTTTTGATAGGGAGACCTGACAGGAGATTTGGGGAATTTCTGAAGTTGAGAACAGAGCTGGGATCCCACTAGTCCTGTACAATACTTTCTCAGTCCTTGCCTATCTGGCAGAGATGCCTCGCCACTCTGTCGGTGGCTTGGGATTCGTCAGCTTTCCAGGGCCACCTCTGAAGGGTATAGCGAAGGCAGGACTGTCATGTTAGAGCGTCTGGACACAAATATTAGGAGGAATTTAGAGACAGTTCAGGAAAAGATAATCGTCCCACCCTAGGAGTTAACTCTCTGGGCTAGCTAACCTTTAGGCCATTCCTCAGTTTAAGTTCATTCCCATAGGAGAAAGCAGGAAGCAAGGCCATGTGCGTGTGCCCTTGGAGGTCAAAAGGCAGTGTCAGACCCCCGGAACTGGAGTTACACTGCAGATGGTTGTGAGCCACGATGTAGATTCTAGGACCAGAACCTGCTGAGCCATCTCCACCCCCTGGGGGAAATGGGTGAATATGGTCCAGGTTTCAATAATTCAAGGGCAGCCACTGGCCTTTGGCTGGATTGAGCTTTTGATGGATCTGTACTATGAGACTGACAAACAGTTGTGGAAAGCCAGAGAACACTGAGGGGTAGAATTCTGTGTGCAGTAGTGGTGTGGGGCAGGGCCTTCAAGGTAAGATACGGACTGCATCGCAGAGGTTTCCAAGTCAAATGAGAAGGCTCGGAGCTAGATTCTCCTGCAGCTGTTGGAGTCATGTAAGTTGATATGAGAGTATCTGGTTTGGAACCTGTAGTAAATTATAAAAGAAACAGGAAACACTGCTTCGAGAGCTGTCATTTGGTTATCCTGTACCGTTTGTTTTATATCCATCCATCAATCTCAGGACTGAGCAACTGGAGGTTAAAGTGTGCTGGTGTGCCAGGCCTGGCTGTTCATTCCTATAGAAATGACCACTTAAACTTGAAATGCTAATAATGCTGAAAGGAGTGTTTCCACCCAAAAGTCAAAAAAGAGATATATGACTTCGGGCTAGCTTTAGTGGCAGATAGGCTTTGTGAGGGAGCCTGCTGGCCAGGGGCTGGAGGGGTGTCGGGAGTGCCTGTAGAAATAATGAAAATATCCTGCCAATTAGGTATACACCAGCAGTTATCTTAATGTTTATCTCTTCTTTTTCAGATGATTCAAAGCCTTATTAAGAATGTCTGGGTCCCCATGAAACCCTACTATACCCAGGTTTACCAGGAAATTTGGATGGGAATGGGGTTAATGAGCTACATCGTTTATAAAATCAGGAAGGCCGGTAGGTTTCTGTTTTTATTTCTTTGAAGTTGTGGGGAACTATGACTTTTTTAAAATATTATTATCCTGTGCGTATACATGCACATGATTAGTGTGTGTGTAGGTACACGTTCCATAGCATGTATGCAGAAGTATGCAATTGGTTCTCTCTTTGACCTATATGTGGCTCCCAGGGATTGGGCTCAGGTTACCGGGCTTGTGCAGCAAGCACCTTTACCCGCTGAGCCATCTGGCTGGCCCAGAACAATGATCTTAGATATCTATCAACAAATGAATGGATTAAAAAAAAAAGGAATAAAGTAGCTGAAATAGCCCTTGTTGGGAGAGCTTAGACTGAAAAAGCTGTAATAGATACAGTGGAATTTTATTCGGCCATAAAAGAAAAAAAAGTTATTTGCAAGAAAATGAATACAAGTAGATTGTCCTGCTAAATGAGATGCCAGACTCAGAAAGACAAATATTAGATGTTTTCTCTCATATGCACAGTCTGCTCTCACATAAACACCAGCCATGAAAGTGAAAAGAGGTTGTTGTTGCATGCAAGAAGAGACGGCCTGGGAGGGGAGAGGGAAGCAAGCGAGGGCATTGAAGAGGGCATGAGCAGGGCATGCGACAGGTGTCTGTGCATGCTGAAATGAAACCTCCTGCTTTGTTTGCTAATTTGGAAAAAGGAACGGTTGTGACACACAGCCATGACTCTGTTACCTGAAAGCATGCTGTGATGCTTTACCCAGCCTAGGAAGCCTGCAGTCACATGTGGATTTGACAGTTAATTGACTGGACACTTTTGTAGGGCACTGGTGTAACTGATTTTCCCTTCTGTTTTAGATAAAAGAAGTAAAGCTTTGAAAGGTAAGATTTCTACTTCTTGGAATGGTTGGGGATTGAATAAGGCCATCATAGCTTTTCAAAATAAGTTCTCTGAGTCCTGAATGGAAACTGATGCCTGACTCAGCAATTCTATAGAGTAGAAATACTAAAGACCAACACATATGCAGTTAAATGGTAAGGAGCAAAACAGTATGCACCCTTTGGGCCAAGTAACACTTGTGGTAATGACAGGAAGTGGGTAGCTGATGCCCCTAGTAGGAAGGCACAGGCTAGCTCAAGGCCAGCTGGGTGAGCATGCTACTGAAATTCCTGTTTTGGTGTAATTTGGGAGGAGAGTGCTAAATCTGTGCCCTAGTGCTGGGTGTCTCTTTACTGTTTTACTGGTGGCACTGAAACCGTGGTCATTGGAGACTCACACAGACCCAGGACTGGCTTTCTGGGCTCTGAGGGGAGACCTTCCTCTGCTCCGGCAGATGAACTGTTGCATCAACACTACTTGCACAGACGTAGAACCAGGCTGAGTGTTCCACATAGAAGTGGCTCCCCTACCCCCATTCCGGGTGGGGTTGTTGGTTGGTTGGTTGGTTGAATTGTGGCAGGGGCTTGTTTTATTTTTGAGGCGAGGTCTCACTGTGTGGACTTAGCTGACCTTGAACTCAGAGATCCTCTTGCCTCTGCCTCCTAAGTGCTGGGATTAAAGGTGTATACACCATGCCCAGCCCCCATTCTGTTTTGTAGCATTGAAAATGAATTTTCTGACTTGTTACTTTAAATAATAAACTATATTCTGCTCCTGCTTCTAAATTATATCACTTTGTTCTTCTCCTTGGAAGGCTCCAGTCCTGCACCTGCCCATGGCCATCATTAACTGCTCCCTGAGTCCACTCACGATGAATCCTGTCGGCTAAACTTAAGCAAGCTGTGTTAGGTGGGAACATGGAACATCGCTGTGCACTTACCTAAGTACCATTTACAATGTGGCATTAATAAATGTATGTGAGTAGTACGACTCCCTGTGGATACTCCTCTGCTTCCCCTGAATATGTCCTCTGTAGTGCAGCAGGCTCCATCAGAACCCCTGAGCGCCTTCGTAGGAAACCTGAGGAATGAGCAGCAGCATGTGCTGCATAAAGATTGGTCATTGGTGTCTAGATACAAACCGATTCCAATATTCTATAATTGTTTGTTAAACAGTTTTGTCTCTGCCTAGCATCTTTCTTCTCTGATCTTGTTTTCATATTTTGGGAAAGAAGATGTTAATTATCTTAAGGGCTAACGTAATTTTTTTATGAGGGTCAATAAGAAGGTAAGGGGGAAACAAAACATTAAATTGTGAAATGCTGAAATAAGAGCATAAAGCAAGCATGGTGGCACACCACTAATCCCAACCAGAGCAGGGAGGAGCCCAAGTTATGGAGTTCAAGGCCAGCGTGAGCTACTGAAACCCTGTCTCAAAAAAGTATGTAAAAAGTAAATGGAAAGGAGCTGGAAGTATGGTCCACATCAAGGAGCTTACAAATACTTGTTGACTCCGGCTCCAGTGGATCCAACACCCTCCTTCTCTTTGGGCATCCATATACATACAATGTGCACACATACCCATTAATAAATATTACAGTGGAAAGAAGGCTGGTGTGATGGCTCAGCATGTAAGGGTGCTTGTCCCGAAGCCTGACAACCTGAGTTGGAGCCGCAGGACCTTTGCAGCGAAAGGAGAAAGCCAACTCTTAGAAGTTCGCTGACCTCCACCTGTGCATGAGCACCTGCTCGCACACAGAGCAAGGGACGCTCTCCTCAGAGCACGTGGTGGGCATAAGCTCAGGGACAAAGTTACATCTGACTCATCAGTCACAGTAGAGTAAGCAATATGGACAAGCCGATGGGGAACTGTGTGTTGATGCACACCTCTAACCCAGTGTTTGGGAAGGTGAGACAGGAGGATCACAAGTTCAAAGACAGCCTGACCTGTGGAGTGCAACCTTGGCTCACAAAGAAGCCAGGTGTGCCAGGCTTTCTCTTTGGGCCACCAGCCAGCTCCCAAATCATGACACAAAGACTTCTTATTAGTTACAAATGCTCAGCTTAGTTAGGTTGGTTTCTGGCTAATTCTTTTCAATTACCCTGTCTTATCTTTATCTTTAGCCTTAGAGCTTTTTACTTTTCTTTCCTTCTGTATGTCTGACTCACACTACTCCCCATGTCTGGCTGGTGGGGGCTGCCTGGCTTCTTGCCCTGGGCATCTCCCTCATTCTCTCCTCCCCCTTGATTCCTCCTCTCTTAAACCTAGATTCCTCTTCCTCTGCCTGCCTACCAGCACTGCCTATCCCTCTTCTGACTAGCTATTGGCCATTCAGTGCTATTAGACCAATCAGGTGCCTTAGTCAGGCAAAGTGGAACAAATGCAGCACACCTTTACATAATTAAACATGCAGCGTAAACAAAAGTAACACACCTTTACACAGTTAAAGTAATACATTCTGCAGCCTAAACAAATGTAACACATCTTTGCCTAGTAGAAATAATATTCCACAACAACCAGGTGTGGTGCCTTATACCTGTGATCTCAGCTCTTGAGAAGTTGAGGCAAGAGAATAGAGTTCTTGAGTCTCCATTAACGACATAATGAATTTCAGGCTAAATTGGGCTACTGGATGGATGATGGGTTAGGTAGCTAGGATAGACAGATAGTGGTGCATCCTCTAATTTCATAGCTCCTGTCTTGGGGTTAGTTACTATTGCTGTGATGAAACACCATGACCAAAAGCAACTTGGGGAGGAAAGAGTTTATTTTGGCTTACATATTCTGAATCAGTCCATTGAGGGAAGCCAAGGCAGGAACTAAAACCAGGCAGGAACCTGGTAGCAGGAGCTGATGCAGAGGCCATGAAGGGATGCTGCTTAATGGCTTGCTTCCCCTGGCTCACTTAACCTGCCTTCTTAAAGCACCTAGGACCACCAGCCAAAGGTGACACCACCCACTATGGATTGAGTCCTCCCACATCAATCACTAATTAAGAAAATGCCCTACAGGCTGCCTACAGAAGGAGGCATTTTCTCACTTGAGGCTCACTTCTCAGATGACTAGCTTCTGTGAAGCTGCCAAAACTAGCCAGCACAGCTCCAGAGGCAGATCTCTTTGAGTTCAGTCTACATACTGAATTTCAAGCAAGCCAGGATTTCATGGTCCTGACTCAGAACAGGAGAAAAAGGCAGTCTGTACCAGCTCTTCTCAGCCTGCATTGGCATGGACTTGGGCCTCCATGTATCTCACTAGTCTGGGGAAGAGCTTGACAAGTTAATATTTCTAGGTTCCCCAGATACACTTGATGCCCAAGAGCAGGTCTTAGAAATGTCCAGTCTAGTAAGGACAGGCTTAGCAGTTGCTTCATGAACAGTAACCACATGTTACACAGTGAAGTGCAGTTTGGGCTATCAAGTGCCAGGCCAGGAAGGATTCAGGAAGGCTGAGCTCATCTCTGGGGGAAGATGGTTGCGTCTGCCTCGGAATTGCTCCCCACACGGCTGGGCAGTTGCTCTTCCCCCATTACTACTGTGTGTCCTTAGTCAGAATTAGCTCTCCATGTGGGCTGTCTGTCACCCACTGTGAGTAGTGCCAAGGCCTTATCTCAGAGCATTAGACTCAAGTGTGCTGAGCTTGCGTTGACACATGCTTCTCATCTCAGCACTCTTGAGGCAGAGGCAGGAAGATTACACGTTGGAAACTAGCCTTGTTTACACAGTGAGGGCATGCTTAAAAAAAAAAAAAAAGAATAACATTAACAAAAAGAAAAATGAAGAGAATCTATTCTGAACCCACCAGCGATTTGGAAACAGCAAGTCTTATACCGAAAATGGCCTGTAGGTGGAGCCAGAATGTGGCCAAATAATGGTCACCTTAGTGGCCTTGTGGGCTGAGAGCACAGGTGACAGTTGCCTTTGGCACTGTACGGGGCGCTGGGGAACAGTAAGAGAAGGATCGTGGTTTTGCTGTTTTTGAGGAGGTTTCACTGTAAACCAGGATGGTCTGGCACTCTGTGTCCTAGGCTGGCTTCAATGTAATGACAGTCCTGCCTCGGCTTCCTGAGTGCTGGGGTTAGATGTGAGCCGTGACAGTTTTCTTTCTTTGTTTATAGTAGGAGTCTGAGGGTTTACTAGTTGATTTGGGTGGTGGTCTTTGGTTTGGTTTTGTTGTTGTCATTATTTAGTTGGTTTGGGTTTTGAGACAGGGTCTCTCTATGTAGACCATGCTGGCCTCAAACTCATTATTCTCCTGCCCCAGCTTCCAAGTTCTAGGATTATAAGGGTGCATTTGGCATTTTAAAGGATAGTTATTCATATGTGTATTTGTGTGTATATGTTTGAGTATATGCTATGTGTGTTCAGGTACCTCAGTCCAGAAGAGGGCATAGAACTGGAGTTGGGAACATGGAAGCAGCTGTGAGCTATACAATGTGGCTACAGAAACCTCTAAAAAGGCAATAAGCACTCCTCGGAGCCATTTCTTCACCCCTGCATTCTGGTTTTCTGATGAGTTTAGTAGAACAGGAATGGCAGTTGAGTGTGATGTGCGTCTGTAGCCCCAGCCAACTGAGATACTTAGCAAGGAGAGCCTTAGCAGGTCGGAAGCCAGCTTGAAAACTGCAGCCAGACCCTATCTTTATTTATTTACCTAGTCCATTTTCTAGCTCCTGGTCAGACAGAACAGGGAATATTACTGAGCATATGAAAATCCCTCCGTAATGACAAGGGAATGAGACTGGGTCTTCACAGTTCACAGGCCAGGCCATGTGCAAGGACTGACTCAGAAGAGCAGTAAAGGTCCAGGGATACGGTCCTTTCTGCTGCCAAGGCAGAAACCATTGAATTTGTACTTCAGGCCCAAGCAGTCTAGAGGCAGCAGGTCTCACAGAGTTGAACTCCAGCACTGCTAATTAAACCAGACTCCACCAAATGTGGGAAAATAAAATAACTGCTTAGTGGACTAGAGATTGAAAACATAGAAACTGTGAGCTTTGTATACAAACTATATAAGCAAATTTTAAAAAAATACTATCAAGCCAGGCATAGTAGCACACACCTTTAATCTCAGCACTGGAGAGGCAGAGGCAAGCAAATCTGAGTTTGAAGACAGCCCCATATACATATTAAGTTCTAGGTTACTCAGGGCTACATAGTAAGACCCTGTCTCAAAGAAAATAGAGCCGGGCGGTGGTGGTGCACGCCTTTAATCCCAGCACTCGGGAGGCAGAGCCAGGTGGATCTCTGTGAGTTCCAAGGCCAGCCTGGGCTACAAAGTGAGTCCCAGGAAAGGCGCAAAGCTACACAGAGAAACCCGTCTCGGAAAAAAGAAGAAAGAAGAAAGAAAATAGAAAATGAGTTCACCAGGCCTAAAACACTTGTCTATGTGAAGTCCTAGATTCAGTTCCTAACACTAGAAAAAGAAAAAGTATGGCCAGGTGTTGGTGACACAGACCTTTAATCCCAGCACTCGGGAAGCAGAGGCAGGTGGAGCTCTGAGAGGCCAAACTGGTCCACAGAGTGAGTTCCAGGACAGCCAGAGCCAGTGATAATACAGAGAAACCCTATCTCAAAACAAAACAAAAAGTATAACCAAGAAAGCAAAGGGTAAATAATATATTTCAGTGAGATTGAAGACAGAAAAACAATGGAGCAAAATTTATGAACAAAAATGCTGGTTCATTGAGAAGATCAATAAATGAGTAAACCCCTAGCCAGATTGATAAATTGGAGAAGACACAGTATCAGAAATGGAAAGTGTCAATACAGTTCCTACTAAAGGGATAATAAGGACTAGGGTGTAGCTCGGCAATAAGAGTGTTTGCCTGGTAAGCTCACGGCCTGGGTTCAGTCCCCAGTAACCCAACACATACAGATTAAAAGGACAATAAGAGTATCATGAACAGCTTTGTGCCCATGCTATAGGACGTGGAAATAGTCAAATTCCTCCTAAGGAAGTTCCAACATATCAGAATTCACACAAAGGAAAAA